TAAAAGACTTTTGAATGTTTATACTTTCGCAGATTATTATGACACTTTTGTATACAAAAAAACTTTTGTTATGAAATAGCTCGTTGTAAACAGTAGATGTTGCATTGAATATATTCAATAATAAAAAATTGTTTATCAAAATTTTAATCTAAAGTAGTTTTGAGCTTATAGAAATTCTCTTCTTGAATAAAAGCGAAAGGCTTTTTCACTGTTAAAAAGCTAAAAGATTTGATTAAACAACTTTGTTTTTCAAAATTCTTACAAACGTTGAGCAATGATCGTTAATCCGAAGATATTTATATTTTTCGGTCATATTCAAACAAACAATTCTCATTTATGATAACTTCTGAAAATGAACTCCTATGTAAGTTTAAACAAAAAAGAAAAAGTTCATTAATAATAACAAAATAAAGTAGAGAATTTGAAATGAGATCAATGTAAAAAAAGAAAAGAGAAGAACACAAGAGTTACTGTACTGACGAGAGAACTGTTTCAATTGACAAAGCTTTTCTGAATCGAAGACTGTACATAACGTAGACCCTAGCCAAATATGAAAAATCTGCGAAAGTATAAACATTCAAAAGTCTTTTAGCCTATGACATTGTATGTATCAATCAATCGAATTATGGTGTTTCCACCTAAGATTTAGCGCATACATAGATCTACTTGTGGCAACAGTATCCTGAAAATTTTAGCTCAAAAGAAAACATAAAATTCTGGCATCTTTCGTGAAATATGAGTGAGCTTTGAGATTGATATGTGGGCGAAATTTCAGGTCAAAATATCATCATCCGATTTGTTGGGTGTGAATGTGCGTCTTCGTTTACCCTACATCCACGCCCATAGCACACTCTTAGCGAACCCATGCTCACATAAATCGTCTTTTATCCGTAGAAAAATAGAAGTTCGCAGTTTGACTATTGTATTAACCAGTAAAAGAACCTTGTAAGAGACAATAGTGATATTTCAAATATTATTAAACTTTTTCAAAAATTGATGCAAATAATGTCTTATTTAGTTGACGAGTCTGATTCAATCTTATCGGAATTATGGATGTACGTGTATTCTCCTTTCACTTGAACTCACACTCACACCCAAGATTTAAATTATTACAATGAGTTTAGATTTTCCTGAATATTGTATTCTGGTGCCGAAGAAAATTTTCCAAGCAGACAAGAAATTTCTCAAAACGTGTTTAGATGCCTTAACTGTAGTTACTGTTTGAGTATTTTCATGTCCGCTCGAAAAACACCAAAGGCAATTACTTTCATCATGGACGGTGCGTGGAGATGCTTAAAAAGACAAATTTTGCAGATAAAAATGGCTTTTTTATGGGTGGTGAAAGTCAAGCATATTGTGATATGTTACCAAATGGATTCTGAATAAGTATATTGTTTCAATAGTTTCACGTGGTTCTGATCAACAATATTTATTTTCTGCACAAACATGAAAACAATATTTAGCATCATGAATTAATTTATTAACAACTGTTTTTCTTGCTTCAATACTTATTAGACAAATTTCATCCGATGATGTAGCTCGTCGTTCTTCACACTTTTCAATACAATAACCGTTTAATAGGAAATATTCTTCCCATCTGTACAAATTTGTTTCATTTGAATATGAATTGTTGTACAATTGTGGTAAGTTCGAAACCAAATTATTTCTTATCGATTAATGATATTCAAAATACATTTAGTAACTGGAAATATTCTTCAGTTAATTGCTGTATCGATCATTTCTTAAATGAATATATACTTATTGTCATATTTATTGAATACCATTTAAAATGACTCGTTTCACATGTCTTACTAATCAGTTTTCGTGGTCATCATTTTTCATTTGTTATTGATTTGATATTGTACGATACATGTCCATTTGAACATGACCTTGTTTGAATGAATATCTCGAGCTTTCACATTAGTCAAATGTTTGTTAGTAGACAATTTTAAATGACAAGAAGACAAACATCAAATTGAATTAGTTAATGAAAAACAAATTCCTTCAAAAATGTTATTTTTACATTTAATGCAACTGCAACTTAACTATACACACATTGATTAATTTCTACGTCATACAATTAAACATGTTCCACATCTACAAAAACTTGTGGTACAGTATGAAAAATTAGTCATTATTATGAAAATGTTTACAAATGATGCAACACTACTCAATAACAGTCAGCGCAAACAAAATACAATATTTAATAAATTACTTTTCTATCCATAATGTTTGTATCTCTATTTTCCTTATTTGATAAAATAATTTTGTTATAGAATTATCTATCATTTGAGTAAAATGGATGAAATGAATATATTTAATTGACGCATTTGATAGAATAGATAAAAATCTATATATTTGTCTCCAGGTAATTTTTTTAGGTATTGGGTGTGAGATGTGGATGTAAATGGATCTTCTCTCAAGCAATAAACACAGCCACAGCCACAGCCCACCCTCAGGTTTAGATTGTACTATGAGAGAAAGAGTGAGTTCAAAACTTAGAGCTGGAATTTTAATGACGAGCAGAAATTTGTCAGTTGGAAACGTCCACGATCATATTTTTAATTCGTTAAAAACGCTAAAATCGACAAAAAATCGGTGACAACCCATCAATTTTAAAAATTCAACCAGACTGGACCGATTTCATCGCAGTTATGCTACTAATTTATATGTGCAATGCTGGAAAAGATACTTATAATAAATAATTTTCTGAAAAATGATTAATTTCGGAGGATAATATGTGGTTAGATATCTGTAAAGGCAGCTATATTTGGGTTAAAGCCAAGTCTTCCATTTGCAGGATCATATCGAATTCGTAGGTCTTTATTTTTTTTATATAATATAGAATCATTGGTTCTGATTCTAATCCGAAGTCTCTCATTTCTATTGTTGAAATCTCGTCAAGAAAAAAGGCCATAATAGATGCTGCAAACTTCTAGGTTTTATCGATAAAAAGTTATTGAAAAGTGATCGTAGAATATTTTTCGCCTGACTATTATTTTTAATAAAGTGTCATTTTATGAGTTTACATCGGAAAGCTTGTTAATGCAGTCCGTTCTGGGGCTGAAATATCAAAGTCAAGTATGTTCTTTAGCTTGATTAAACTAATAAAAAATATACGTCAAGTGAAAATTGGCGCAGCACTGTGTGAGAGCGAAGGAATATACGTAATCTAAAGCAGTACCGATACTGTGTCGACAAATGATCGTATTAACTGATACACAAATATATTCTGTGGAACATAATGAGTTGTCAATCGAAGTTAGGATATGGGTTTGAGTCTTCATCTCACTCACATACTCACCCACATTCCATGTTATGTAGTTGAAGCAGTTATGCCTATTCGCGATGTAAATTCCTCTAGTGGGTATCGTCTGGTAGTACTAATTATTTCTACAGCTCGCCTTCTTAGAGATTACTGGCTGTTAAGTCCTCTGAAGGAATTGAGGAATCGACGGAGAATTTGGTACGGAAATGTGAGGTGTTTGAGGGTCAATTCTCAGTTCCTCGAGGAGTTGAGTAATTTTAGCTGGTACTTCCGGAAATTGGAAGAATTTCCAAACATCAGTCCTTGGACGTCCTGCGTCAAAACTTATTGGAACAAAAGTTCAGACAAGTGAATCATTCAATTGGGATCTAGTAGACAGAAATTAGCCTGTCAATAGTTGCCTAGCATAAGTTGTCAAACTCTATCAATGTCTCAGTGTTCGCTATAAAAATGCAAGATCATGGATATTCTAAACTCTCAAGATATTTGCCGTCCAAAATCATATTGCACAGATCTAAACCAATGTGACTTCTTTCTTCTGTTAGAGCTAAAATATCAATTACACGACATTAGACTCAACGACAACAATTCGATACTAAATGTGCTTTAAACAGTCATTAATGACCTTGCAAAAAACAATGATCTCAAATTCCATCTCGATGATCTATTTGAAAACAACACTAGAATCAACCTTTGAATTTTTTTTTCCCAAAGAACAAATCAAAAACCTTTTGTAAATACTCGAGAATCATGGCTTCTTCTTCATTGTTCATGCCAATATTTTATTGATATTGTTGAAACAATATTATCAATATTATAAAACTTGAATTGTTTGGAAAATTCTTAAGCGTCATTTCATAAAATAGGATGCATATTATGGGACATCTACGCTCGAGTTAATATTATTTTCAAGATGCTCTGATATTCAAGAAGCCTTATGATTAATAGTCCATCTATTTATTCATATCATTAGAAATCAACACGAAATCACACTAATTTATATATTCAATTCTTGCACACTTTGAAACGTCAAACATGATCGTACACTAAGCATGATATCAAAAATATTAGGCTTTTATATGATAGTCTTACAAAAATAGAAGAGATATATTTTCTTAATTTTAACCCTTATGATAGAAGTTTTGCACAAAGCTCGTATGAACGTTGTTAATCGATCTCTATTATCAACTATAAGATATGGATGTTCGTTGAATCAACTGGTTGAGCTCAACGATCTACTCATGATATCAACTTCTGATTTGGGGGTATAATCGTAAAGGCCTTCTATATCTATTATTATCATCAACAACAGTTATTTTATCAATAGAATACTCAAAGAAATAACTGGTAAAATAGTCTGTTGTTATTTCACATTATTACTATATCAATTTCACAGAAGTGCTATTTTTTAGAATCAGTATGATTATAGTTATAGTTATGTCTTCAATAATCTAATCTGATATGTCATCATTGTAATAAAATATTATAATATGCAATATAAACATGTCCATTTGAACAATATATATATCTATGTGGCACTGATAATGGCAAAATACAAAAAGATATTTTTTGGTTGATATAGTATAGAATTCATTCAATCCCGTACAAAATGTCCATAGTATTCTCCTACGTTTTCTTATTAGTAAATCTTTTAAACTTTTGTCGTAAGAAAAAACTTGCCTCGAAATATGTATATGCTAATGTATATTTTATTTAGATATGTGTCCACTTGAATATCGTATTATTGATCCAAATCATTCATTTTGTTCCGAACCATTTCCAAATGTTGTTGATCAACGCATTACTTTATCTGAACGTGCATATATTGTCAACATGCATAATTATGAACGACGTCGTGCGTATGGTACTAATGTCGAAAAAATGGTATAGTCTTTTTTGTTTCATAATTAATGTAATATTTAATAATTTAATAGTATTGGAATGATGATTTAGCTGAAATTGCTCTTCGTCATGCTCGTACATGTATATTTGAGCATGATAAAATCAATCAACGAAGTGTACCAAGTAAATTAGAGAAAAAATACGAAGCTCTTTTTTTGTACAGACAATTTTAGAAATTCCTTTATCAACGGGACAAAATCTCGCTATGGGTTATGAAAATTGGATAGAAGTTATAGAAGGATGGAGTGAAGAAAAAGAATTTTATTACCATACTTTTCCATCAACAAATATGTTCAGTCATTACACACAAGTAAAAATAACTATGGAATGACAATTTAAAATTTTATGGATATTTTAATATAGATGATTTGGCATTCATCAGCATTAATTGGTTGTGCAGCAACGATCTGTCCTCCATTCGGAACACACAATATTACATGGCGTTTTTTTGTTTGTAATTATATCACAGGGTAAATAGTAAAATGGTGAACCAAAATAAATGAATATATCAATATATTGTAGAATGTTAAACAGCAATTATCATGAAGCATTCAAACAAAGTATTCAATATCATCCATTGCATGGTGACTTGAGCATATAATCTTGTAGCTTTAAATGTAAACAATTTCGTTTTAGATTGCCAAGGTAAAGTTTGCCTGTATAATGGTACTCTTGATTTAAATACATGCAAATGTCAATGTTCTGCATATGCAAGTGGTTCACAATGTGAAAAATGTAAGGTACTTGATCTTTAATAAAATATTAATTAAACAAAAAGTTTATAGTAAATTGTTCAATATTACCTTCATGTCCATATCATTCATCGGTATCTTGTCTAGCTGTTGATGTTCCATTAGAATGTCCTCGTCTTTGTGGTCTATGTGATCGATATGAAGTATTAAAACATGTGTATGGTGAAGAGAATCTAATACCTAATATCTCTACGACAATTTTTACTACCATTGAGAAAAGGTCAGATAATAATGTTATCTTATGTAAATAAAAATTGATTGTAACATTGAAGTGTTTAGTACGAATCGCGTAATTCTTTTACTTTTCTTTTTGCTTTACTCTAGTTCAAACAAAATAAAATTATCATTTCGCAATTTACAAATTCAGTATTTATAATACAAAAACTATTTATGTTTCATTGATTTAATCTTTTTTTTTTCTTAATATTTAGCACACAATTTAATTCAACATCGACTACCAATACGACATTGCCCATGATCGTTTTATCAACATCATCAACGCGATATTCATCTTATCATATGATTTTATATATATTTATTAAATATTTATTTTTTGCATAATATTATTTTCATTCAAAGATTTCCCTTCACAGAAAAAAAAAGAAACAAATAAATTAACTTTATATAAATATATCACATAAAAAGAGAATAGAACCCCAAATGAAGAAAGAAAAAACCGCTACAAATTTTCTTGAGCAATACGAATTTGTTATGTTAGGAATAAATAAATATATATGTATAAAATATGGCAATTATCGAAGAAAAATCCGTTCTTATGAGATATTAATGATGAATTCCATTTGTTTGCATCGATAAAGGTGTTATGCCATTTGATAGTATTAATTTTTTAGGGAAATCATTAATAGGCTAGGAAAAACAATCATGAATAAATAAAATCACATTTTTGAAAGAAAATTTACTTCTTGTGTATCCGTATCCATTTCAAAAAAAATTGGTAGATCATAGGTTTTGTCTTTAACGAATTCAAGATTCTAGAACTTCTATCAATAGAAACAAATTTTAAATAAATATTAATTTATTACTTCTCCTGCATATGAAACAAGTGGTGAAATTTCACAAGTCTTTCCAACTGTTTCTCTAAAATAAAATTTTCTTTTTGTTGATCGTATTCTTTTCATAAGAGATAATATATTATACATACATATATTCGTTCACATCGGATGGTAAATGAGCACCAGCTTCTTGAAGCCAACGAACATGTTGAAGCATTAAATCTCGTCGACATGCTGCTGCTGTATCCTTTGAACCTGAACCATTTTTTAATGGTGAAAATTCATCTTCACGACGTACTTCCCAAACCGCAAATGTTCTATTTTTTTTTTTGAAACAAAAAATATTCTTGTTCACAATTCAATTAATCTCATTCTGTAATTTTCTTGAACATGTTCATGTCTGCTTTCTAATACTAATTGTAATCATAATAATTAGTCCTTAAATCTGATTGTTTTATATTTGTATAGAGGAGAAAATCGTACGTTGAAATTGATCGTTTTTCTTGAAATATTAAGATCTGAAAGGGATGGAGTTGAACAATGACCGTAAGTCGAAAGTTAATTTTCGTTTTCAACTTATTTGTCATAGAAAAATTATTGATAACGTGCTAAAACCAATCAGAGATGTGATGATCAATTAGTAGACCCTACCGGATTCGGATTCATACACGTTTAATCGAAATTTGTCGGGCTCTACTTTCGAGTGACTATTAAACTTGGATTAGAAAATTTCATTGAGTGTATTACGAATACAGCCGGAGTGCATGTCCGAAAAAGTTTAATTAATCGGCTTTAGATCCGAAAGCTTTTGATCCGATGAACTCTATCCATGGATCAATTTTTTCTCAACACAAATAAAACAATGATTTAACTATTGAATATAAAGTATCTAATGTATTACGATTCTATAATAAATGAATTTTCTTACTTTGAAAATGGAAAAACATCAAAAACGAATTTTTCTAATTTGATTCCATTGATTTGTGATGGTTTACAATCGTATATACCATTAGCATCAACGGATGGAATTTTCTTTTTAGCAACATGATAACGAAGTTCATTTTCATGTTTTCTAAACAAAAAATTTGATATTAAAAAAAACGAAAGAAATTTTTTTTTCTTACTGGCAAACATCTTGAAGAAAGTTAAAAGTAAAAAAATGATTACAAATATTTCCAGCATTATATACTAATTCATCGCTATTATCAGATTTTTTTTTATGTGCTGTTTGTTCAGATATTTCAGAATATTCAACAACTTGAAAACGATCACCAACTTTACATATAACACCGACTGCTTCGGTTGGAATGGTTTTTTTTACAACCTAATAAATAAAATCAATAAAAATAAATAAATAAAAGAACCAAAAAAAAAGAAAAGTCTAATTTTACTTTTGCAGCACAATCAGCATTTTTCTTTAAACAAAAACCAATAAATGCTGGATCAGCTAAACGAACAAGAATATTATCTACACCATAAACATGTATATATTGAATATGACGTTTTCTCATTTCATCTAAAACTGCACGAGTTTTTAATGCACGATATAAACCACCATTTCCATCAGCAGCTTTTGTTAATTTATATTTTTCTTCAAGTAAAATTTTTCCTTGAAAATCTAATGCTGGTAATGTATGTTGTTCAAATAAAATTATATTTTCACGTTTTAAACCAAAATAATTATGTGAACGAAAATATTTTTCTGTTTGTTCTTGGGTATGTTCACTTGTCATGATAAACCTAAATAATATTCATATATTTTCATGTTTAATTTTGTTTGGACAAAACTAACCATGATATAGTTCCAGTTTTTGTATTAAATTGTTCATTAGCAATTTGTTCAAGTCGACGAATACGTTCAGCTTGAATTTGATAAAGAGATTTGTTTGATGGTAAACCAATATTAAACATTCCTTTTGGATAATCAACACCTATAAAAATCATCAATCATAATAATTAAGACCAAACCAAAAAAAAACAAAATAATCATACCAAGACGAGTTCCTTGTCCACCAGCAAGTAATAACACACATACAGAACCTTCAGAAATAGCTTTTAATCCTAGTTGTCGATAATCTTCAAGCTCTTCTTTGCTCGCTTCATTGATTGATCCAGCCATATGATCAGGAATGGGTTCCATAATATCATCAATAACTTCTGGTTTTTTATCATTATGATTATTTATTTCTGATAATAATTCATATTTGATACCATCATAAGCTTCTTTAACACGATCGAAATCAACTTCATTAATGTCATGTAAGAGTGCTTTTCGTTGTTCATCATTAAGTTCAGGCCAATACGCAACTAAATGTGTTTGATTAGCGTTCGTTAAACGTTGTTGTATGGCTGAATCAATCTCCATCTTTGAATAAAATGAACAAAACAAAAAAAAAAGAAAGAAAAATAGATCAAATATAAATAGGAAAAAAAATCTCTCAATCTTTATGTCAATAGAAAAACGATAAGTTTTGTTGACTCAATTCAATTGATTATGCAAGATAAGTTCAATTAATTCGTAAAGATAATTTTTTTTTGTCTTTCTTATTCTTAACATACATTGACATTTGTCAAAGATTAAAATCTTGACTCAATGTTTTTCTTCCTAAGTCCAAAGAAAAATGATCCGACTATTTGTTAGAGAAAGCGACGTCAAATCGATCTTTTTTTTTCTGATCAATGAATCATTATTCAAGGTTTTAGCATATATATATATATATATATCATTTGATGGAAAACAACATAATAAGAAAATGCCAATTAGTTCTGTACTCACTTCGAGAGTACGACATCTATGTTCTTTGAAAATTACGTTAAAAAATAAGAAATTAAAAAATAAATATTTATTCATTAAAATATATGAATTATTATTGAAAAATAGATGACGCTATAAGAGCGTGACTTAGAAAAAAAACTATTAGAACGAACTCATATTTTCAATGATTATTATTTGAAATCATGAAAAGAATATTGTTTTTTCGTATTTAAAACTAATTTTGTCAGATTGATGAATAAATCTTAATGGCTATTATGAACCAATAGAAGTATCTTAAAAACAAATAGTCATTTCGTTTATTTACTTATTCAATCATGTCAGTGCCGGGTGTTGTAAGTAAAGAAATATTTTTGTATAATTAAAGTTTATTTAATTTATTCTTAAGCGTTGTGATGATCATCGTCGTCGATGGGATTTACGTGAATATGAAAAAAAAGCAAGTGATCGAATTGAAAATCTTCGTTCAATAAAAAAGAAACCAAGTTCAACAGATGATAGTGATGATGAAGAAGAGAAGAAAAAAAGTGATGAAAAAAAAATTGCACGAACACTTCTTCAAGCACGAGAATTTAAAGTTTGTTAAACCAAAAAATCAATACAAAGAAACTTTTTATTAATTTTCTTGAATTTCATATGTATTTAGGTTGATTTAGAATCTCGATTAGGTAAATCTGTTATTGTTACAAAAGCTACAGCACCTTCTGATGCAGGAGGGTAAGAAAACATTTCCTATTCTATTCGTTTTATTAAATTGATTTAATTTAGTTATTATTGTAATGTATGTGATTGTATTGTGAAAGATTCAATTAATTTTTTGGATCATATTAATGGAAAAAAACGTATGTTTGAATTCTTTCTATAGATATATGAAATTACATTTTATTATATTAGATCAACGAAATATGGGTATGTCAATGCGTGTTGAACGATCAAATGTTGATCAAGTACGAAAACGAATTGAATTGAATAAAGCTAAACAAAATGAAGTTGAAAAAGAATATAATTTTGAAGAACGTATGAAAGAATTAAAAGAAGAAGTATGTCGAAAAAAACTATTCGGAAAATCACGTGATTAGTTTTTAAGATCTTGACCACATGATATTCGGTAGTATCCCAAGGATTGAAGGAACGGTCAATGACTGATGAAGCCAATCGAATGATTTTTGTTAAAGTTAACTGGATTTTGGGGAGAATGAGTTGAACTTGTTATTGAAAATTGCCGAGCAATTAAACGCTAGAGAAAAATGAAAATTTTTCAAGATTCAGGAACATCCAGAAGGTAGAGCTCATCGGATTCAAAATTTTCGAACTCATTTAACAGAAAACTTCCAGATCCAGATCAATCTAGTGGGCTATAATGGTGATGCGGGTCTCTGATAGTGATCTTTTAGTTAAAAAGCCTAGTCTATGGAAAAAATGCTCACTATGTATGCACTTGATCCTATCTCACTGTAATCGAAAATTTACTGCAAGTAAAATTCATACTATCTGTGTGAATATCAACAGTCCATTGTGATTCTATTCAAGAGTTAAATTGAAAAGGCTTTGTGGTTGAAAATCAGATCATAAACTTTATTTGTGCTCATGGATTGTATGTTTTTGGGTATCTCTCTCTCATTTTCTAACTAATCATGTGATTTTCCAACAACTCCAACGAAGTTTTGATTACATTTTAATGAGTTTTTTGTTTATAGGAAGAAAAAGTAAAAGCACAACGACGTGATAAAAGAAAAGAAAGTAAAAAACGAAAATTAGATGAATATCAATCAACT